TTAAAACATGAACAAGTAAACCCCCGCAGCCCCAACAAAAACTTTGCTTTACAATTTTCTTTTAAAATTTTAATGAAAGAGCAAACATTTTACTGGCCTGGGGCCAACCGGCCATTGGTAGTGTCAAGTTTTCGTGAAAATCTGATTTTTTAGGATACTCAGTCTGTTTTTTTGTGTCAAGAGGTTGGCATCTCTGGTAGTACAATGTAAGACATAATTAAACAAGCTAACATGTTGAGAACAGGTATGTTTTTAAGAGAGATTTGAACTGTGAGTAGAAGTTCTCATTTCGGAGGTGAAGAGGGAGTGTGTTCCACAGTTCAGGGCCAGAACTTGAAAGTGATTGTCTTCCCCAGGAGTGTCAAGACCCCTGGATGCAAAGAAGTAAATGTGTGCAGAGCTTAGTCGTGGTTCGTAGAAGTGTACTAGGTCTTGTATGTATGTATGTACCACAATGTGAACACTTACACAGTGTTGATTATGTCCACCCTGGGCGCACTGGTCTGAGTGGGATTCAAATTGTGTACAAACCACAGTGGGAACACTTACATAGTATTGATGATTTCCATACTGGACACACTGTGATCTGAGTGGGAATCAATTGTGTACAAACCACAGTGTGAACACTTACACACTGTGGTCTGAGTGTGAACACTTACAGAGTGTTGATTATTTCCACCCTTGCCACACTTTTCTAGGAGGGAATCAAAATGTGTATAAACCACAGTGTGAACTCTTACACATTGTGGTTTGAATGTAAACACTTACTGAGTGTTGATTATTTCCATCCTTGACACACTTGTCTAGGAGGGAATAAAAAAAATGTACTAACAAAAGTGTGAGCACTTACATAGTGTTGATTATTTCCATACTAAACACACTGTGGTCTGAGAAAGAATCAAAATGTGTGTGCACCACAGTTTGGCCACTTTTAGAGTGTTGATTATTTCCACAATGCACACAATGTGGGAATCAAAATGTGTACACACCACAGTGCAAACACTTTTATAGTGTTGATTATTTCCACACTGGAGACACTGTGGTCACTGAGGGAATCACAATGTGTACACACCACAGTGTGAGCACTTTTAGAGTGTTGATTATTTCCACACTGCACACAATGTGGGAATCAAAAGGTGTACACACCACAGTGCAAACACTTTTATAGTGTTGATTATTTCCACACTGGAGACACTGTGGTCACTGAGGGAATCACAATGTGTACACACCACAGTGTGAGCACTTTTATAATGCTGATTACCTGTATTTTCAAACTATGTGGTCTCAGTGGGAATTGTTGGAAATGGTGCGTTCACAGTCTCACAAATAATTTCATCATCGATATACCACAGTTGGACCTCAGAGAAGGTATGGAACATCGGTGGCTTTATCGTGTTGGTTTGTGAGCTCTCTGTCTCCTTGCACCAACTCTGACACAAAAATGGGTGTAATAACCACTGTGATATTACGCTGTATTATTATTTGGTTGGGCTTGTATGCATTGAACATACATGATCAGGATATAATAATAATAATAATAATATTCTGCTCTTGACATAATCACATTATAATATAACATCTGTATGCGCTTTCAAAAGGCCTTTGGATATTTGGATATACCCCAAATATAAATGCATATTAGTCAACCAAGTCAGGTCCTTTACAACCAGATTTTTGTTTAAAGGCACAACTATTCACATGCAAAATCTGGCAAGGTACCTCTAATTATTCCAGAATTGTGATTTAATTAATAAAAATTAGTCTCTTTTATAAAAGCTTCCACCATCTTCCCAGGTGTCAATTAATTTTCTAGGCGAGCAAATTCATGTTCCCACTCTATTTGTGGTATATTTTTAATAGGAATATATTTTCTTTTCAAGTCCAGACATTTGATTTAATATTTCTTCAAAATTCACAAATGTATATCTATATGTATATATATCTTGCTTCTTCATAAATGTTAGAGGTTTTATCTGGGATAAAAAATATAGTCATAATCAGGAGCGTAGTTTAAAAAGTTTAAAGCTGAATAAGCAGAAGAGATGTGATGAGAAAGTTTTTATAACTATTTACTTGTGAGAAGTATGTACTGGTACTGTAAATAATTTTGCTCAAAGCAGTTGTTGTAGAGAGCTAAAATACTTGACCTGGATTTGTGAAATTATGCAATAGAGTACCGAAGCTGTGATGTCATAAAAATCTATTTTTAGAATTTCTCAATTTTTTCTTCATATTCCAAAAGAACATCAAAAATAATGTCCAAATGTCGAAAACCAATAGAATATGTTAAGTATTGGCTGAGATATGACCATCTGAATAAATATACTCCCCATAGGAACTCAGTGTTATATGCTCTGGCTCATAATGGTTAGGAGCCAGAGCATTTAACACCGAGTTCCTATAGGACATATATTCATTCAGATGGTCATATCTCAGCCAATACTTAACATATTCTATTGGTTTTCGACATTTGGACATTATTTTTGATGTTCTTTTGGAATATGAAGAAAAAATTGAGAAATTCTAAAAATAGATTTTTGATGACGTCACACTTCACCACTCTATATGCCTAGTTTGTGTACAATATACTATATGAAATATACGTTCAATATAGTGCGCCCAAAATACACTTTCAAGTTTACATGCATATTTCTCAATGTCCTGTATGAAAGTAAATGACGTATTATGCACTGAAAGTAATATCAATCTAAATGACGCTCAATGTAATTAAAGGTACCGTTGAGATACTTCAGGTTTGTAATCCATTAGTTCAAATTATTGCAAAATGACGATAAAGATGTAAAATTACGATTAGTAAGTGACATAATTCTCAAAAAGTATGATTTGTAGAAATAATAGAATTAATAATGATTAGATAATATTAATAATAATAATAATTATAGTGATAATAACAAGATAATAACATTAGTTACAATAATAATAATAGTGATAAAAATAATCATAATGATAATAATTATGATAATATTAATGATAATACTACTAATAACAATATTGATAATGTGTAAAAATGATTATAATAAGTGCCTTTACCTAGTAGCTATAAGTCTATAAGAATTGTCAATAATGTGATCACTTTAATTTTGAAACATATGCTTGTATTAAACTTGGCTTACCGGTTCTCCCCCCACCTCCCACCTCCCACTCTTTTCAAGAATTCAGATCCCAAACATGTGTGGATGATGCACTAGTCTAGCTGATTTAAAGGCTGTTGAAAGACCTTACTTTAAATGTTAAAGAGGTACATTAACAGGTGTAGATAAAGCCTTAGACTATCAAATAAATGCATGAAAATTAATAATAAATATTTACCTTAAATCTGTTACCTTGGCTGTTGAAAGACCTTACTTTGAATGTGAAAGAGGTATATTAACAGGTGTAGATAAAGCCTTAGACTATCAAATAAATGCATGAAAATTAATAATAAATATTTACTTTAAATCTGTGACCTTGGCTGTTGAAAGACCTTGGTTTGAATGTGAAAGAGGTTTTTTAACAGGTGTAGATAAGTTTTATTTGACTATCAAATAAATGCATGAAAATTAATAATAAATACTTTAAATTAAATCTGTGACCTTGGTTTGAATGTGAAAGAGGTTTGTTAACAGGTGTAGATAAGTTTCATTTGACTATCATAAATAGCATGAAAATTAAATATAAATACTTTCTTAAAATCTGTGACCTTGAATGTTGGAAGACCTTGGTTTGAATGTGAAAGAGGTATATTAACAGGTGGAGATAAAGCCTTAAAATTAATAATAAATACTTTCTTAAAATCTGTGACCTTGAATGTTGGAAGACCTTGGTTTGAATGTGAAAGAGGTTTATTAACAGGTGTAGATAAGTTTTATAGACTATCAAATAAATGCATGAAAATTAATTATAAAAACTTGCTTTAAATCTGTGACCTTGGCTGTTGATAGGCCTTGGTTTGAATGTGAAAGAGGCTTATTAACAGATGTAGATATAGTCTAAGGCGATCAAATAAATGCATGATAATTAATAATAACATACCCTTTCTTTAAATCCATGATTTTGGATTTGACCTTGACCCCCAACGGAGATACTCTTACATTATGCTGTCAATAATGGAGGTGAATTCTAAATTGAAATTCTCATTCATATTCTTCTCTTTTAAGACCCAATTTGATATGATTAAAAGTCTCCTGGTATTATATTTGTCACAGATATATTCTAAAATGTATAAAATAATAGTTGTATGTTTAGTATATTACTTGTGTTACATGCACGAGAGAAACTAGACCACTTTTGTTCAGCTTGTTTTGGCAAATGAATTTTTTATTGAATATGTTAACTTTGCCATACCGGTAAATATAATGTCTGTACAAATGCCATATCTTCAGTGTTATTTCACAATTACAAATATTGTTTTTTCTTCTTTTTTCCACTCAAATTTATCATTAAAATTCTATAACACCTCTTAATTAAAATTATAAGTGACTGTTTATCCTAGTGTTAAGTACCTCCAATTTATCCAGAGTATGTGAATGTATTCTTAATTATAAGATATATAAGAGAATAATAGTACCCTCAAATGACTGATTAATACTGCTTGCTATGACAACATATCCATCCAGGCACCGTTTAGAAACTTATTGCATTTGTAAAAGAAAACCTATATTTATTTCAGTGTTCACTTATTAGGCTAATACCTATCAAAGGAAATGCAAGCATGTATACAATATATATGCAATTGCTATACATGTATATGTATATGCAATTTTCGGTACAGTATTTATTGTAGGCCTATGTGATGTACGGCAACAGTAAGATAAAATTAAGTGGTCTGTATATACATTGTTCATCAGTTTTGATAGAAGAATGTATATTGTGTATGTTGATAAAGTTGTTATGATATTGGGAAAATATAGACACATGAAAGGTCAGTTGGGAACACAGACAGAAGCTGACACGTTGCACACAAATAAAGTTTGATTTGGTAGACAAATCATGATTGAATAGAAGTGGGGACTGAATCGAAGGTCCAAAGTCCACATATTTTTTTTCTGTGGGTGTGGGTGTGTATTGTACTTCCTGATAAAAGCACTATTAACTTCCTCTGGTTTAATCAAACACAGAAGCCTTCCTGTGCATGTCACACACTCACACAGACTCAATACTGAATGTAGCCTTGATGCATACACACTCCGGCGGTACTATAGAAAAAAGATAAAAAGACAGAGATATAAAAAAAAACACAGTGGTGGCATTTAATTTTCATGTGCAGTCAAGCTCGGCGTTCTATTGTAGTGCTGAATAGAATACTTTTCTTCAGTTTCTGTCTTCTAGCATAAGTTGGAGGTTTGTATCGTTTGGTGATAAACGAAACAACCCGTGAGTTTTGATCATTATGTTTGTGCAGTATAGAGGAGATGTATGATTCTCTCACATGCTACACGCGGAGCATGGACCCAGTCGTTGAGAACTAGCTAGAACAACTCGTCTCGTGTGTGCTTATTCTGCAGTTTCACTTTTTGTGTAGGTGGTATTATGGATAAATGTTTAGAAATGTTAAAGGGCCGTACACAGAGAATTTGTTTGAATCGTGATCCATTCATTGTATAGTGCCATTTCTTTTCTATTTTTACTTTGTTGCTTTCCCTTGCAGTGTTCAACGGGATAACAAACCTTCGCTTGTATGGACTGATGCCACATTGACCAGGTAATTTTCCTCATGCTTCGATACTCTGATTCATTTTGCATGTTAAGGTGAGTCAAACATAGTCACCCTGTACTTTTATTACGTACTCACGAATAGTTGACTCGCTCTTTTTCTGGATAGTTTAAAGCAAGATATTTGGTTGTGCTATGTCAGGATATGTCTCGTGTATAAACTATGAATTGTCCAAAGTTGTACTAACATGCAATGTTTGCCTCTAATAATACTGATAATACAATATACCATATCCATTTATATACACAGCTATACTACAGCTGTGAAAGTTACTCTGCATATATATATATATATATACTCTACTGTTCTTTTCAAAGAATCCTATTTATTTCATTTGGTGTAACCAAGCTACCATTATAAGGTGCTCAAGAATTCAAGCAATTTCTTCCTCCCAGGTGCCCCATGCATTTACTGCACCTGGGTTTAGAGTGGCAAATGTAAAGCAATGTCTTAATTATCAAAGGTCATTAGTGCTGTGACAGGGATTTCAAACCATGTGCTTTGTGATTCAGTCTTCTGACTTATTCACAAGATCGTGATGCCTCTACAGTATGGAAATATAATGAGTGTCAGATTTTTTAAATCCTTTAAAGCTGAAAGCAAAAATATAAAAGGAACTCTTTGGAAATAAATATATCTAATGATATATGACATTCACTTGAAGGAAATACATTTTCTATGGAAACTCAAACAAAGGCTAGCCACCACAAAGGAGATAATTCTTTTTAAATAATGAATTCAGTCGTGTTTAAATACAATGGTGTCATTTTTCAATGACTCAGTAATTTCTAAGAAGTGTTATTATAATTAGATACAAGTTGCACATCCTGGTTTGTATAATTGCCTGTTCTGAACTACATGTGTGCGAGTGAGTGCACATCCGGCTACCACAACTTATCCTTTGGTTTAGCTTTGTCTATCATATCTGACTTCAAAATATGATTTTGATATCAGATTTTAATTAATATAAATAATTACCATGTGGTATTAATTATATATCAATTAGAAGTGCAAGATTAATCTTCACTTTTTGTATGTTGATTTAGAAACATGAATATGAAAGCTCACAGTTGTACAACATGAAAAACAACTTTGCAAGGACCACATTTGAAACCGATACATGGTAGATAAACAGAAAGCTGTACAAGGAAATAACGACTATTTAAAACAAGGAATTAATCATATATATATATATATATATATATATATATATATATATATATGTAAGTGTAGTTGATTTGAAATAGGCATGAACTTTATATGATATTGATATTCAAAAAATAGAAAGGGCATAAGAAATTGAAAAATGCCAGAGTGTAATGATACTGTTAGAAGTAGTCTACCCTAATAATGAGTTATTTAAAGAATAAGTCACAATAGTAAAGTAAGAGGTCTACATATCCACTTTGGAATCTTGATCCATTCCTTTATCAAGAGGAAAAGGTGCTTGTATTTGAAATCATTTTGGGTTTTTATCAACCACAAGTACATATTCAAGATTATAATCATTTCTTTTAGACATGAAAGAAATGATCAGTATATTTAAAAAAAGAGTTTTTATTCTTTTATCTGTTTTGTAATTTTCTCTGCATAGGTAAATGAATGGGTAAGAATTTGGCTGGAATATATTAATCTTTTCACCGCAATTTGAATGTAACATGAGATTTTTTGTCTAGAATTTACTTTTGATCAATGTTATTATTGTTGCAATACAAATCATATTTCTTTCATTAAAAAACAATGCATCTGGCAGCTTGTAGAAACTGATCTGATGGACTAAAAAATTGATTGCTACTTTGATGAGATTTGATATCTGAAGAGAAAGGATTCTAGAAATCATACTTACAGGACCACTACATGACTACAGGTAAGAGCCTAATTACTATTAATCCCTCTCAAACAAAATTGTACAAACAAATTCTCTTTCTTCATTTATTACCCTCACAAGGATATTCCAAATAGTATCAAATACTAACTCCTATGAGTGGGTCCAGGGGAGGGACATGGTGGCTGTGTGTTCCAGTCTAGAATACCTTCACAAAGCATGTAGTGTACAAAAAAATAATTTCTAATCCTCCCACACCTCCAGGAAATTTGCTCAAATTTGCTCATACTTACCAAAATGCACCCAGCAAATACAATGAGAAGTTTCAGACTGGTCCCCCACCCCATACGAATTGTGGATTGCTGTTATCCCCTCCCCACTGTCCTTTAGATTAAATTGTTATACCACCTTCAATACTGCTTTCAATCACAGCTTTATGAGATAAAAACGGTATACCTCCGCATTGATTTTGTAAAGTAAGCCAGGGCATGTAATATGCACAAACATCATATGAACAGTTGGAAAACCTGTTCTGTTTATAATTTATAGGTGTATCACAGAGATGCCAACTCTTGGAAAACAGAAATAGGGAGGATTTGTAACCGACACCAAATAATGTGCGCGTAGCGCATATCTCGAGCGCGTAGCGCCCGACCCATGCGGCCGGGGTCCAGGGCCGCCTTAGGGCCCTGGAAGCTCTAGGGTTCTAGATGCTCTCTGGTGCAATCTAAGCCTTATTTTTGGAGCATTTTACATGTGTATTTAGTTAAATAATTCCCACTTTTAAACAAAAATAACATACAAATTGTACATAATGCATGATGAATTCCTTTCAGACTTCCGAAGACACGGGTACTTGATACTGTATTCGGTCTTATACTTCTGAGACCATTTCTAGGTCTTCTTTTGCTGATTTTCCGCCATTTGGATTCTGTGTCAATATTCACGCATTGGTTACGGCAATCCATATGCTGAAACAATCTTTCGCTACTCTTAATTTGTCTTTTAACATAGTGGAATTACTACATGCGAAAGTTAGCAGACGATATTTCCCATTCAATTTACAGATATATATACTGATAAGCGCCCCCCCCCCCCCCCCCCCCCCCCAAAAAAAAAAAAAAAAAAAAAAAAAAAAAGAAATTATTAAAAAAAAAAAAAAAAAAAAAAAAAAAAAAAAAAATTAAATAAATCGGGAGGATAAGGATGGCGATCGTAAGGTCGGGAGTTGGGGTGAATTATCGGGAGCCTCCCGATGAAATCGGGAGGGTTGGCATCTCTGGTATCAGTGCAAGTGTTGGAAATATTGATCATGCAGACATGTTTCTTTGAAATCTTTTTCATTAGTTACCTTGCTCTTACTATCAGTTGAATAAATCAATAAATCAATGAGAAAAGCAAGCAAACAATCAACAGGTGCATTATTCAGTTATCATATCATCAGTTCCCATGTCCCCCTTTTGTAACCTTGTAAGAGTAGGCTATAATGATTCTGGTTCTGGTTCTGGTGGACTACTGCATCAACTCCTCAGCTGGGATGTAACATGCAGGCGCCGTCGACTGAGCATACCGGTATTACCTATACTAAATGATCTGTGGTTGGAACAGGTGCGTCATATATACTTATGACTGTATCTCGTAGAGATTAGAACGTATTTCTTCAGTATATAAGCAGACTGTAGCATTATATCTGATTGCATACTGATTGCATATGTTTTTATTATGTTAATGCAACCATATTCAAAAATTGTGTTTGGTTCACTTGCAGGTGTACTGCTAAAGCTGGTGAATACCGGTATCTGGTAAGTATGACTGGTGATGCTAAAGTTACATTTATATGAGGATGGGTTATGCAAGGTTATGCGAGAATTTGTAAATCACTTTCCGGTCAAGTTTTGTCAATAGTGAAGCTCTGTGAAGAAAAAAATTGTGTTATTATGAGCCTAGGATTTTACTACCAGCTTTGTTACCATGGCGACACCAGTACCTTATAAATTATTTCACGCAGTAGCCATGAAATAAACCATTAAAGTCATCCTCAAAATATCAAAAATGAAGTTTATAAATCAATAAAAAATGTAAGAGTCCTAATGATTTGAGATGAGATGTAAATGTCATATTGCAACATAATGACACAAACTGCAATGTTTAAGATTCAAGATTCAAGTTTAGTTTCTATTGGTGTTACACTGGTATTATCAATGTGTCTTTAGTATTTTCATCGCATTAAAAAAAAATACCAACAATGTTTATTTATCACATTAAAATCTACTTCATTTTATGCTGATGAATATATATATTATAAAAAAAAAGAAATACCATAAACTTATTTGTTCTTTGGTTTTTGAAGGCAAAACAATAAATTCAGGTCTGTCTGCACATAATCAGTCATTAGAAGCTTTGGCAAGAATCAATCTGGTAAGTATTGCCATCAAGGAGAGGGACTACAATGAGGTATATGAAGTGAAAGTGTTATCATATGTAGATAATTTCATTTCTTGATTTAAAACACTGTTAAAGGTAGAAGTGAAAGAAGAATTGCCTAAATAGAGAAAGATATTTAGCTACTTGGCAACTAGATGAATTTTAATATTAATATCTTGGCTCAAAAGTAATTGTTTGGATGAGAAAATTTCTCCTGTGTTTCAGGAAGTATCCATTATTTTGTTTGATATTGAGGAATTGAGATGTAAGTTGATCAGCAATATTTTAAGGATATTTTGAAATGAAATGTAAAAAAAGCATGATTACTAAGAGAGTAACCCTGTGGAACACCACCAACCATGTAGAGAAAGCAAGGTGTGGTGCCTGCGAGAAAATAGTGACTACAAGAAACCACAACCCATGGATCTGGAGGCTAGAATGATGATGAAGATATCAGGACATAATAAAAAAATACCTAGAACTTTTGGAGAGAGAGAAAGAAAGGAGGGACTCTTGGCAAGCATCCTTTGTGAGAATGGGCCAGATGGAAGCAGGTTACCATGGCAGCCAAGATGGAGGAGCTTGTGAGGACCATTGGCTGGAAGGGTGCACTGCTCCGCAAGAAGCTTGCTAACCTGGAGATGAAGACCTAGAATCGAATGTTGGTCTCAAGATCACAGTCTTCATTATATCCTCACATTTAATGTATCAAAACTCTATTTGGTAGATAATACATGCAGATGCAGCTGTTGGTATCCATGTAGTGTTTGTGAGAACTTGTAACTCTTTACATTCCTTGTCTTAGACTCATAATGATGTACTGGCATAATGCACATGTGTGTTTGAATAAAAACTTTACTTTTAAATTGTAAATATATTCATATGCATAGCCATCATTTGTGTATTGTTTTCATCCTAACTTTGTAGTAAAGTAGAAAAGTTTTCATAACTTTCATAAATTTTCAACATATTTTTAGTCCTTACATGTGTTTCAAACTATTTTTGTTTTGACAAATAAAGTCTCTTTTTTCATTTTGTTGAGTCTCTTTGAGTCGTATGTTATTTTACCAAGTTTTTATCTTTATAAGATTCCCTATGACTTCCAGGTAAGATTGGAAAAATGTAGGGTATGAGAAATTTTTCATTTTCATAATTATTGATGCTATAGATGAAACTTTCCTAAGTTTGACATAAATGAGTAGGTTAGAGCTCATGAATCTTGTTCAGAATTTTGAAGGTATTTTTCAAGATAAGGCAGTGCGAGTACAAAAATGCAACTCAGAAATCTCAAGTGCACTAGTTTCATATTCCGATTAAAATCATTTAGGCTGTACTTCAAGGATGGAAGGAGGCTATTTCAATCATTTTAAAATCGGTTAAAAAAATGTAGGCACTATAATTCGTCGAATGACACCATATGTGTTCATGCATCTTACTTACTTTCCTACCACGCCTACCAGTAAAAAATAAAAAAAGGTAATAAAATAACCCGACAAGTCTCGTTTATTATCCGATCATGACTTGATAACCTGCTTGCAGTGCATATTCACTAATGCACTTGCAAACATGAATTATTTGTATAATGATTTTTTCATTGCTTGCGCTGTGCTGCTTCAATTTTGTAAGTTGTCCATTTATTACCTAGCTAGGCAAAACTTACTGGTACAACTGTGATTTAAGCTCATTAACACGAGCCAATGTGTGTTTGAATTAGAGTGTAAGGTACATGTACTGGATTAGAGTGGCAGAATGATTAGCATTGAAATACAGTTTGTAACGACCAGTTTAAGGACAAATATGAGGGCAAATAGGTTTACAATAGGTCTTACATGTATGGAATAGGAATGCACAGATGTGTAGTGCTCTCTAAAAGACCACATGAAATCTAGGCTACAATTCTCTCTTTTCTTGAACTTGTGAACATCCCCCCCCCCCTTCCCCTGTGTAGGAACTGTACTGATTTCTGTGTATGTCGCTGACTGTTGACAATTTATAAGAATATTTTAAAGATTTGTTTTAAAAGGGAATATGGGTTACGTAGGCCAAGGTAAATATCAAACCAAATCTGATATACTCTGAACTTTAGACTTATCTGCTATATGTAAAAGATTAAAGGTAAGGGGTCCAAGAGTCCATGAATTATATCTTGAGTGTTTGTTTTATATCATTTTTATCGCTTTGCCATTAAACATTGCTGCTTTGATAGGAAGTATGGTATAATCACAGGTAATCCGATTGTGCTGCCTTGTGCGTGGCCATTAATATCATGTGATGTTATATCAACAGGCAACAAAGATTGGACTTTGCCATATGCTGATTGTGCTTATCATAAAAGATATTATAAAGTAACCGAGATATGGAACCAATGCTTGCTTTATGCTGATTGGACACAAACTGGTAAAGACATACAAGTAATATTTTTACATGTTGTGACTTGCATTCTGCTGGTGAATTCTGGAAGTGTCGAAAATGTTGTCAATTTAGCTTTTTTTTGGCCATGTGAGCATACTTTCCCCCTGTATTAAACCAGATGAAACCGGTATGAAGGGGCCATGTAGAGAGCATTGGAAGGAAATTCATTCCCATGATACAGTGGCCTAGGAAATCCGGTATAACACAGGTGTGACCTTTTGACCCATTTCCTGTTTTCGTACGCAATGTACAGAATGATAAGGAATAAGGATGTTCTCATACATTGCATGAGCGGTTGATACATGTATATGTATATCCTTTTTGAGCTAGCGGGTTGGGCTATATTGTGCAGACAAATCTTGACCCTTAAATGTATTGTGTCTTAATAATAATACCTCGTAGGCTCATACCTTTTTGAAAGTTAAATTTCAGGTAAGTACCAGAAAGAGATCATTTAACAAGTGGTGAATAAAGTACTAAAGATCAACCACAATTGTGGAAATTCGATGTTGTAACTATGGCATCACTATGAAAAAATAACCTTCTATTTGATTTGGACAAGTATTTAAAACTACATGCTTTACCCATACCCTTGTAGAATTTTTAATGAAACATTAATTGATTTCCATGTTTCTTGATGGAAAACCGGCTTCATCAGGAAAAGGGAAATTTGTAAACAATTGGAGAACAGCTGATATACACCATGAGGTTTATTGATTTTGCCATCAGGTATTGGATTTTTATCAAAACAATTTCATTTTTGTTGGTGAATGTACTTTTGAATAACACAAGAGGAAAAAGGAAATTGAATGTTCATTGCTATCAAGAATTAAATCGTAGATATCCTCATGAATCCATGAGTGACTTCAACGGAATTCTGTTAGATTTTTTGTTAAAGATAATCTTGATCTACCTAACATTTTTGTAAACATTTTTTTCTTCATAATTATATACTTTCAGTATTTAAATTCATAAAATAGATTTAAGATGTAGGATTGTGCAGGAAAAAAATCAAAACACTCTTGATATAGTATTTAGAACAGATGGGTGGTAGTTTAGTAAAGAAAATTATAAACTGGCCAAAAAACTTGTTGCATGTATCCCGCTAGTGGGAATTTATTTCAGCTGACATCTGTTGCATGTTTGTTTATGTGAAATTTATCTTCAATGTGTTACTATCTTACTTAGATCTACTTAGTTGTTATCTCATAACAAATAATATGTAACAACATGTAAGATCAACCACAAAACCTGTATCTTTTAGCTGGTAAACCATCATCAATAAATGACATCTGGATGTTGTATTGTGTGCTAATGTAGATGGATAAATTTAACAACATTCTAAATTTACTGAAAACCCTCTTTTTTTTTGTATGTACATAATTGTGCTTTATTTGATTAAATAGGAAATATTTAATAAATTCCTGGAATTAATGATAAGTTTTTAAAACTGCCGTACCTCAATTCAATAAAATTAATAGAGCTTTTTACTCGAAAAAATAGAAAATGCATCAGACAGTGTCTTCTTAAATTAATGAGAAGCTTTCATATATGAATATCAATTCAATTTAGAATTCATTGAGCTTTTGTGAAGGAAATTATAGAAGGCATTTGTAAAATGTTTGCCCTGTCACTATTTCATTAGTTTATATATAAATACATAATTCTTCTGGAGTGCACTTACCATTCTAAAATCTCTCATGTCTCTGAATGCCCATATTTTAGTTTCAGATTCCAACTGTTACCAGTGTATACAGAGATTCAGTGTTTTTGAGTTTTTGTTTGCTGTGTGCTTGCATACATACGTGTGTTGTAATTGGTTTATTTTACTACCAGTGGAATTTCTAAAATTTTGGCACGCATGCTGTCAATTTTTGTTCTTTTATATGCATGGTGTAGAATTCAATCATTTTGACAGGGGAAAATTCAGGTATAAATTGTACATCATGAAAGCATCGTTATATTTGGAAACAACAGATGTGTGAATTGGTTCCCACGCCTAATTCCTTTTGTTCGCAGTGTGCATTCAAAAAGACTAATTTGTCACGCACTACCAGGAAGAGGACTTGTTATTTTGCAAAGCCTCTCAGGCTGCATTCGCTCATGTATGTATTATTAAACAGTTAATCTTGTAAAGTGCTTCACGTGATGATATGCTTCATAAACGACAATGAATTACTTTTTGTCCTCAGCATTGGTGTTTGTCGAATAGACCCTTTGTATTAGAATCCTGTGTGTTGAGTTTTAACTGAGAGACATTTGAAAACAGGTTTATGTGTAGATTGACGTTATTAGTATAATTTCATTTGAAATTCAGAAGTTTAGATCAAGTAGTGAACATAACAAAAAAATGTGAATAATGTTGCACTTTCAGACGTCAGTTGATATGATGAAGACATGACTCTAGTCTTTTTGGCTCTACATTTATCATTCTATTAATTTAAAAACGTTTTCATAAACCAAAATTACTTCATCTAATTGCTGTATTATAATTTTAAGTCCTTGGAAGGAAATGATCCTATAGATTGCATGCGTCCTTCCAAAATAAGTAGCATATATATTGAGTGAGTGAAATTGCTTGG